GAACGCGGACCGTAGTTCCTGTCGCCGGCCGGCAGTTTTTCGCGCGACCTCACAACTTTGGCGCGTCCGATACGAAGAGGTCTCTCTCAGGAATGAGGGACGAACTATCTTAGAAAACAAGCGTTTTACTAATCCGGTTTGCATTTGCAAAAACATGCAATCAAAATTTCATTTAATAATAAAAAATAATTTGCAAAAAAAATCGATGTTTATAGAGAATGATTAGATCATAGATATCACAGACGCACATGAAAAGTAATACGTCTAAAACATTTTTTAGAAAATTGGAGTAAAGTCGTTAATTTTTCTGCCAAAGATAGTGTTTTACTAAATACATAGATTGTATTGCGACTAACCTTAGTGTAGAGTGTTTTTATCAGTACGACTTTGACAGATTTTGGGTTGTGCCACATAAAAATTAGGTCAAATCAGTTTTTCACCTCTCGAAGTTTACGTTACTGTATCCATTAATTATAGTTATATGTAAAGATGTATAAATTTGAAGATGACTGGTACGTGTTCTTTGATCCAAAGCATGTCATCAATCTCCATTCATTTACTACACATTGTCCTAGTTGAAAACCCAGCGAACTCGCCCGTGTGAGCTTATCGAGATCTAAGACGTGCTAACGGAAGTTCTGCCGAATGACGCATTGTCATTGAAACGGCTGCAGGTTCGTTTGCTCCTCTTGACAACAGTTCGCCGTCTATCATGTTTTGGATGCTTCCGAATTGTTCTCGTGGTGCTGTGCTGAGTCAACATAAAATCGAATCGCTTCGATCACAACCCTAGAGGTGACAGGGAATATAGTGTAATATTAACGAGGAAGTCGAACCGCCTTCCATTTCGTTGGGACGAAACAACATTGTCATTAGTGATTGTTCAAAATATTGAAATAAGTGTCATTACTCATTAGTGAGACGCCCTCGGTGGCTCATTGGCTCGCTTTCCACAGCGCAACCCCGGGTTCGTTTTCCGGGCAAAACTCAATTGTGCGCTTTCCTTGCAATGTCCCAGTGTCTGTTGCTGTGTGATGATGAGCTCACTTCTCAGGCTGAGAATACTAGAAATACAGCGTAGGGATGGCAATGTGCTACCCACACGTACCCCTTAACCCATGGCCGCAAGGCCGGGACGCTGCTGGTAGGCGTTAGCTCGTAAAAAGCTGTTGTGCCAAGTGTGTGTATATATATATATATATATATATATATATATATATATATATATATAAGTACTCATTAGTGAACACTTATACTGCAGAACACTTAATTTCCACATTTTATACTCGATACACCCATATCTACGAGGTAATGGAATGTGCTAAAAATTCTCAAGTATGCAAACATTCTGCATTTTTAAATTGCACTCAGACATATTTCAGTTAGCGATTGCACTCGTGACCTCTTGTACTACATGGATTTAATGTAGAACGTGAATTGTATATGTGAGTTGTAAAGTCGACTAAGTGGTTCACGCTCCTCTAGAAATTTTCCTGAAGGATATGTGTCCCTAACCTAAGAGGACTTCCACGGCGATATTTCACCTCCAACTAAAAGTGTAACGGATATTCTCACAAAGAAATCTCACTTGTGAGTTGCTTCACCTCTAGTCTGCCGTCTACTAGTGCCAGCTAGTCACTAGTACTGCAATGCATTAAACGCAGAGCGAGAGCAGTACTAATCCACAGAGAAAGGTCGTACCTTCCGTGCGCTCTTCATGGTCAGCGAGATGACGGAGTAAATCCAAGCGAACGTGTAAAATAGCATGCTGGATTGCTTCAAATGGAGTCGTTTCGTTCCAAGTAGTTTGGAGAGTCGCTAACACGTCACTATCCAGGCACGCCAGTCCTACGCAGTTATTGTGGAAGAGGCGAATCTAGTTCACCTTGTAATTATAATTATGACCAGATTATGTCCATCAAAAGGGAGGAGAATCGGAACATCAGGATTAGATACCGACATCTGTGTATCCTATGCACCTCTACATTTTGCACATTTTGTAACATTTTTGGATATATTTTATTTAATTCGCTGCCGAAATCTTCTATGTACCATAATTCTCCCGAAAAACGCTCCCAAAAAACAAATGTTTGCTTTCAAGCATGATCTCACTCTTTTATATGCGGTTCTCAACTAATAATTAACACTTTATAGAAGCCTACGATATCTCAACGCATCCCCCGCGAGCATAAATCGCTTTGAGACGGTGACTGTACGCATGATAATGATATGATGAGAATATGATACAAATATCTTCGGCCAGTTGAAATACATTTCAGCGACGTGTAATTCTTTATCTCTTTAAAAGTTGCTTATGAAATTTAATGTAGTAGTATATTCATTGAGCGATCAAACTTGACCGTCAAACTTGACATTTTTGATACCATGAGTTAGATTACATGTGAACCGAGTAATTCTCACTAGGCTTTTTAATTTTCAATTATGACACCATAGTATACAACGCAACGTAGGCCGCCTGTGTTATGAATCATTGCGGTCGACCTCTCAACATTTTAAAAGCAGAGGTTATTGGGCCAGTTGAATGAGAAACCTGCCCTATGAATTGTAATGGCTTTAAGATTTTGCGATCGGCAATCTGTGTCGATTCCACGGGCCATGAGTCAGAGAGTGCGCGCGCGATTCTCTGAACGCAACCGGAAATGCAGCAGGTAGTGTCATAAAAACGTCAACCCTCGCCTTTACGTGGGCGACCCCACGCTTTGTCCTCCTGGGCAGAGTAGTCTGCTGAGGGCACTGGCACTAGCAGTAGCGAGAGAGCTCCTTTGGCAAGTAACTATTATTGAGATGCCCGTGTTCCTTTCGGGTACTTCCGCCGAGTTCCGCGGAGGCCTCCATTCCAGGTACTTCGCAGCGAGCGGTCCAAGCAATAAACTCCGTTCTATTTCCCTGCTCGCGCTCCGAAAAGCACATACTGCGGCGGCAATAGAACTTTCGAGGACCCGCCATTCGGAGATAATATCTTTTCCTGTCTTTTCCGAGCGGGCAAGTAACAATTCATTTCATATGTTCAGGATGTTAGTGTATGTTGTCAGTTTCTTTTTCCTTCTCAGAAACATATGGTTCTTCGTGCTACTTGACTGTCTGGGAATAATCTTGCGCGAGATCCAGTTAAAGCATAACCATTTGTGAGCTCCAGAAAAAAATTAACTTTAATTACGAAATTTAAACAATAAATGTAAGTGAATGACTGAATAAGGGAAGCTTTTTTTCGAATCATAATTAAATGTATTTTCTTAATTCATAATGTTAATATATAATACTTAATATATGAAATATGTACGCATTGACGCCATAAAAACTCTGATAGTATGCATATAAAATATGGCCTATAAAGTAGCTATATTAAACCAACATATTGAAGCAAAATATAAAAAATAAGTGCATGTATGTACTTGGCGCGACAGCTCGTGAACGGCCTCAGGCCTACCGACGTCGTCCCTGCATCGCGGCCATGGGCTAAGGGGGTACGTGCGGTTAGCACGGAGACATCCCCACGCAGTATTCTTGTCTTCTCAATCTGAGATTCTCATCATACATCAACATATACTGGAGCATTGCTATGAAAACGCACACTATAGTCTTGGCTCGACCGGGAATCCGAGGCCGCGAAGTGGATAGCGAGCACGCTGACCAAGAGCTAGCCACGAGCCCAAAAAATAATTAGCAATTTACATAAATATGATGCTTTTTTATTAGGAAAATAGACCACACATTCAAAAGAAGCATAAAAAAATAATGTTTAAATAATAGAGAATATGGTGTTTCATACACGTACCAAGCACGGATAATTTTGTAATACAGGGAGGAAAATATGCATTTGTAAACCCCTTCCCTAGTAGTAAAAAATCGCGATAACCAAGAAATTGCACCTTGCAGCTAAAACCTTCCTTAGCAATGAAATAACTACTTTCAGTATAAGAATCCATTCTTTAGACATAATACGTCGTCGTTAAACGGCAATTACTTTAAAAGGCCTTCTGTATTTCCATTGATGTTAAGTGTTATCATGATGAAGTTTTTGTTCGCTGTCCTCCGTTTATTCTTGACGATCAAAAGATCCAAATGGTCCTTTTTTTCGGAATTCTGCCAGTGCCCTTGCAGTTTTCTTCTGAAACGAATAATAGTTCTAATTTCAGAAAGGGAGAATATTGAAAAAAATAACATCAACACACAAACTAGGTTTTAGAATGCACACAACTCCGTCGGTTCACAAGGAAAGTGACACGTTTAAAATATTGCCATTTGATAGGAGAAAGATTGTAATTTGCGCGGAACCATGTATTTCTGAGGATAAAACAAAATATTTTCTCATTTATCCGCAATCTTGTGAACTATATAATCTTATCCTTACTTCTTATTACGATTATTATAATCGTGCCCCGGGAAACTGCGAATTTTTGACAGAAACCTCTTACTGCCATGTTCCTGTTACGAAAAAGTGGATAAACCCTGGATATATAGTAAATTACTTACTCGAGTCAGAATTCAAGTTTAGTAGGTTCTTAATACCAAAAATATATTGTCAGCAATACGTCCTTCCGTCCAATTGTAAAATACAATATTAAAGATAAACATCTGTCTAAAAATCAAATTTTTAAAATATGCCGTGTAAAAATTAAAAAAAAACTAGAAGTTTTCACGTAATGTCTACTTGAAATTAATGCAAATTATACTGAAATCACAAAAAGAACAAAAGCTTCCAGCGCAGTTTCGTTGAACACTGAATTTTCGAAGATTGCAAATTTAGAAATGATGCTAGAAAGAATGTGTTCTTGTTACACCACCAGTTTCTGGAACACGTATACCAGCGCTACTTTTTCTTACCATAGCTAAAAAATTGCTGTTTGTGAAATGTGTTTCTATTCTTGAGCAGCAGTGCGGTGTAAATGAACGCGATTGAAGAATGCTGCAATACTCGTGTTAAACCGCCTCCCCCCTCCCGGTGTTCACGAACCCATCCGGTTTAAGCCTCCATTCACAAGTGGCGGAGATCTCTTGTCGATCAGAGCCGGCGGCCCATCGAGTCTAGCTTTCGCGTCGGCATCACCGCCCCACATACTGCGACGTCACCGTCGACGCCGTCGCTGCGGAGGCACTAACGAGCGTCGCAATGGCAAGCGCGGAAGAGCGACGCGCAGCGGTGCGCGTGCGGGAACGCCGCGGCACCCGTCGCCGTCGCCGTCGCCGCCGTCGCCGTCGCCACAGTCGCCACCGCCCCCCCCTGTCGCCCGCGTCGCCGCCTCGTCAAGGCCGGGGAACGTGCCGCAGGAGGAGGCATCGGTATTTTAATTGCTGACGGCGTCGCCAGGTGTCTGGCGGTCGTTTCCACGTGGACTAACGAGCGATGTGCGAAAATAATTACCATTTAATGGTGGCATTGTATCTCGGAGGCGGGGACCGGCCCCGGTACCCGGGCCGAGGACAGAGCCGGCGACCCCCGCATGGTGACAGGGGCCGCGCCGTGCCGCGCCACGCCGTGCCGTGGAGCCGAATGTCAACCATTTACGCACAGCGCTTCCAGCGGAGAGAGGACGTTCTTTGTTTTGCTCATTTTGCTCGGCACGCCGATCAACCCGCTCCTGCCGGCAGGTACTTCAGCAGCCGTGGCTGGTGCTTCGGACACTTGCTCTGTTACTTACTCGCTCACTAGCCGCGCCCTTCTGCAGTGATCGCTCTCTTCCTGGCGAACTCGTTCACTAGCAGTTAACCGGTTCTTTATAATACTAACTAATGCATTCACGTTATGAGTTGTTCATCTCTTAAATTACCGTTCTATTTTTCCATTAAATAATATAATATTCATCGTCTATATCAATCGCCGATCCTTCTCATTCTGATCCGTCAACCGGGAAAATTCCCTCTTTCCAGTTTCGTTTCACCCACTCGTTGACCTCCTCGTACATTCATTCATGCATTCATTCATTCATTCATTCATTCATTCGACTCGCCCAAAAAATTGCGCTCGTTCAACTCACTCGTCTACTCGCTCATTCAAGTCTCCCAAACAACCGATCATTCAAGTCACCGACAGCCGCGCATTTAAGTCACCGGAACACCCGCTAATCCGAGCCACCCCAACACCAACTCATTCGAATCGGCCGTTCGCTCACCCCCCCCCCCCAACACTCGCTCATTCATTACGGCCATCAGCCCGCTCATTCAACTCATCGATCTACCTGCCCGTTTAACCGAAAACACCAACTCACGCTCACCCCTACCTCCCGTGCACTCTCCTGCCTGCTGCTGCACTCTCCACCGGCGGGGACACCGTCTTCCGAGAGAAGCCTCCGTGACATCTAAGGAAATACCTGCGAATTAAATGGTGACCCCAGAAGACCCTAAAAGAACCGTGGTCAGACTCGTGGCGCTACTCAGTCACGTCAGAGCCACTGCGGAGGAAAAGAAAAGAGCCGGTGGGCGTTTCTGTGTGGCGGTAGCCCCCGCCGCGCCGTGCCACCGTAGCTGATGGAGGATTGGTGGGAGGAGAGGCTGTTAAAAAATGCACCACCTCGCGCCGACCCGCTCGCCTCGCCCCGCGCTGGTATGTTTTCGATACAACGCTTGCGTCCGCAGACATTACAAACGTTGAGCTCGTATATTATAGCTTGTTCCACTCTCGCATGACAGTACAGGGCCTATAGTGCGGCTCGACTTTGTCATGCGGGACACGTTGCTTTCAGTGCCAGTAGTCAGACCCAGCCAGAATCGTATCTTGCAACGCCGGCCGCCGTTTAACTCGCGAAAACTCGTTTGCCCCTTATTTGCAGGTTCGATGATCTTTTGGAACGACAATCAACTTTGATTGGGTTGAAAATTCGTGCTGATAATAAGTAAGGATTTGGACCTGCATTTTTACTTTATATCACTCAACGTTATTGTACAATAGCTCAAACGCACATGAACTTCAGAATCCTACCATAATTCTTATGACGAAACACAAACGTTCAAATCAAAATCACTTTCTATAATAATAATAATAATAATAATAATAATAATAATAATAATTATTATTATTATTATTATTATTATTATTATTATTATTATTTTTGCTCGCGAATCGGCCGACTAGGACCACGCATGCATGCATCCTGCATTTACCGTAGCTCAGTATCATTATCGCCGTAGCAGGTGCATGTAAGTTTAATTGGGGACTAGCATTTAGCCGAGTCCGACTAACAGCCCTGGGGGTATGGAAAATGAAATAATAATGAGGGGTGAAAGGACGACTCACTCATAAAGACGTGCACAAATACCCGATGCTCGAGGCGGGACTCGAACCCGCGATCTTCTGGTTCCAAACCACTACGGCACTACTGCCTTGGCGATCTCGGCCATCTAATCGGCATTATTATTATTATTATTATTATTATTATTATTATTATTATTATTATTATTATTAT